AGAACAGACGCCAAAGAAAATCCACCAGAAAGCTACTGTGTTTCTCATCTTTCATCCATCAGCATGGAATCAGAGTCCATTTGGAGGATTTGGGGCTAGAAGCACATGCTGGATGCTGAAGGAGAAAAGAGGGTCTGTGTTATGTAGCTAGATCCTACATTACCCCACCCAGACTAATGCTGGCAGTGGGAGAGTAGGGGAGGATCAGAGAGTCCTAGTCATTCCTGTAGAACTTTGATTTCTTATGCTGTGCATCTGCAATGTTGTCCCAGCCCTTTGAGCTCTTGGTTGTCTCAATCTTTTCTTTTCCTACTGCAGGGCCAAGAAAGGTCATTAAAGTTGGTAGGAAGTAAACACACATTGAACTGATTTCAGTGGCTGTGGCTGATGAGTGAGCACCACTCCAGATCTGAGTGTCTCAAGTCTTTAATCTTCAATACAACTAAGGGCCCAATAAAAGAAGAGTCAGCACCAAATCACTGTATTAAATGTTTCAATTTCATCTCTGTATGGTACATACTTGTGGGCCCAGTAATAGGGAGTTGAGGTAAGAGGATAGCCACGGCTCAAAGTGTTCCTGAACTACATAGAGAATATCAGGCTATCCAGGGCTACAAAGCAAGATCATGTCTTAAGAAACAAAGCAGGATTAAGATTTATGTATGCACCAAATGTTAAATAATTGTTCTCAATTGACTCATTTTACAATGTATATTTTGAGATATGTTTTATGTGTATAGGCATTTTTACCTACTTGCATGGCTGAGCACCATGTTCTTGCAGTGCCCATGGAGGCCAGAGAGAGCATTGGATCTCCTGGAACTAGAGTTACAGGTGATTATGAGCCACAACGTGGATGTTGGGAATTGAGGCCAGGTTCTTAGGAAAAGTTCCTATGCTCTTAACAGCTGAACCATCATCTCTCCAGCATCTATCCTATATACTTTTTTAAGAGCAATGAACTCAGTAATTTAGAGCCTGAACTCAAAGTTAATGCACCTACAAATAAGGCACAATCAATCTGGAACACCCTAACAGCCAGCTCAGTCCGTGTGTCCAGTTGCTTGATGACTTGGTCTTTGGGTTTATTCACTAGAGAGAAAAGATAGACCTGCCTTGCATCTTGCATGCCTTTTAATATGCAGCAGAGGTAAAGGCTGGATTAGTGCTTTCCTTCTTTGGCTGACCACCAGGCCAAGGACCCCTTCCTTATGTTTCTGGATACCCCATCTTCCATGTATCAGCTCTACATTTGAATAGTTCCAGGGTATCTTTGAAGACAGGACCAAACTAAAAATGACCTCCATATGATTCTAATTGTTAACTAGTTTAGGTAATTATTATGTCATTTGACCTTTATAGATGTGTTCCCTGGTCTAGTGGATAGATTCCAACTGCTTTTTCCTGACTACTTTCTCTAGCTATGACTTCTACTTTTTCTTTCTATGTGAACAAATTGCATTTCTTAGACCCTTATTAATATATTTTGTTGTCCTCTGCACTGGATAATTTCAAGTACATCTCAGAAAGCCCTCTATGCTCTTCCACCGGCATGTGCACACCCTCCCCCATTTCTGCTAGTAGAAATTACCCATCCCTTCCTTTCTGCCTTTGAGGTTGAGCTCTAGTTTCCCAACCTTCAGTTCTAGAAGTGGCTCCAGATTGCCTCAAACCAATAAACCTGTTGGGTCCATCTTTGACCATAGTGTTTAGTTCAATGGCCAGAACAGAGGCACCAATAAGGGAAGTATTGGGCAGAAGGAAGCTGTGTGTGCATGAGACAAGGAAGGAAGCACTATGGAAATTGTGGCAGCCATCTTGGTTCATGTAGGGAAATCTAATCAAAAGTGAATCCAACCCTGGAAAAGCAGGACTGAGGGGGACAGAGAATGTGGACCCATGTTCCATCCTCAGAGCTCTTGTTTGGACAGGAGAGAACTGAAATAGTTCAAACTGATATCAGAGTGCTCTCCAAGCCAAGCAGCAGCAGAGAGGCAGAAATGATATCTGCATTGGGAATGTCAAGAAGGCACAGCCTTCAGGATAGGATGGGGGACCATTTCTTTGAAAAAAAATGGCAGGGTAGATATGACTAGGGCCCGAGGGAAGACCGAGTCTCACTTGGGGAGTATGCCTTTCCTCCAAATAAAACGGAAAAGGATTAAAAAATGGACCTGTAGATAGAGAGACGGCAGGTTCATCTTAAGGCTCTTTAACTCATCTCATCATTAGCACAGCCACTACATTCTGTCACATTCACCTGGGACTCTACATGGCTCCTTTGTAAATCTCCCACTAAGCTGGCATTTCCGTTGTGCTTTGGAAACTGCTGGAATGTATACTTGATCATTACTCCAAACTGACATCAGCCCTAAACTAACTACACTAAAATTTCAAACACTTCCCGCACATTTACATACCTTAAAAGCCTTAGAGACACTGTGAAGCCAAGACTTTAAGGATAGGTTTTGGTGCATGACTGTTTGCTTTCCTTTTATAACACAAAATAAAGTGAGACCAGAATCTTAGCAAAGTGACTCCTGTTTTTGTTTGTTTGTTTGTTTGTTTGTTCCTGACAAGAGGCACTTCTTTGGATTCTGTGCTAGGCACTTCACGGGAATTCACAGGGACTCCGATTAAAAGTCCTTCTGGAAATCACATTGTTTTTAGACAATGTTGAGTCCTGATGGGTGGAGAAGTAAGAACGCTTTCAGTGGTCTCGTTTGCAAGTCTTTGATGTTCCTTCTAAATCATATTGTGTCTGTGGAAATATTGGTCTGAGTAGATGCTGGCATTTCTTTGAAAACACACAAATGTTGTGTGTGTGTGTGTGTGTTTAATGGCTTCAAGCAATTAAAATAATTTAAAAGTAATTAGAAGTAGCAGCTCATTAAGTCAAGGAGGCTGAAGGCCTGGAAGGCCATGAGCTTGTTGCTGTGCCTGGGCCAGTGTTGTGAAAGGGATGCTTAGGCCAGAGGAGGTTCCTGCTGAGATGTCTTGGCCATAATGGAATTCAGCTGCTGCCTCTGTGGTGCAGATGCCCTCAAAAAATTGGTCATTAGAAACTAACTAGAGAGAAATGTGATTCCCAAAGGAAACAGAATTAAATACAAATGCACGTAGGAGCACGTTAGATATTAAAATAAAACACACCCCTACAACCAATACCCATTAGCCAATAAGGAAGCTTGAAACACCATCACACTCAAAACTCATTAGCCAATAAGGAAACCTGAAGCTAAGCATCCAATATTGGGCCCAAATTGTGACCACAAAAACAAAACTCTTTCTTCAAAGTAGGTAACACATAGTTTGCTCTGGAGTCAAATGTGAGTGAATATGGCCTAGTAACATAGCATTAGGATGTCCCAAATTTCACATCCCAACCTGGTAACAGTTTCAGGAAGTTATTATAGGAACAGAGTAATAAAATTATAGATGAAGACACTGTTCGGGTAGACTGGAGGAAACAGAGGGGAGGCAAGTGACAGTAGAGCAGAGAACTCAGGTGCTACCTGACTACATTGCTAGTCTTTCAATTGATGGAGGCTGGTGATCTGTTCATACATTCCAAAGGGTTTGTTTACCTCATAGCTACAAGGTTGTTAGGTCAGACTCAGAGGTGGTCAAGGAGTGGCTGTTTAGTTCATTAAAAGTAACCCAAGATACACTGCAATTAGACTGTGGACCTCTGGCATCCGAATTTCTCCAAAGCCATTAAAGTTTCAAGCATTGACTCAGCCTTGCAGAAGATTCCATGTAAAGCACAGTTTTTGTTGTTGTTGTCGTTGTTGTTTTGTTTTGTTTTAATTAAAATTCTGGGAACTTTTGTTCACAAAGCACTTTTCTCATGGGCATGTTGAGAGGACAGTAAGCAAACAAGCAGATAGGTTAGGGGTGTCCCAAATCGATATAAAGTCTTCAATGATAGAAATGGCAGATTAGAGATGCTCTCAGGACATTAAGATGATAAATTCTGACATCAGAAAAAGGAAACAGTTGAAAGATTGTTAGTGTGGATCAGAGATTAATCATCCTAAAATCTAAGGAGGTTGAGCTTGTTGATCTGCTCTTCACAGAACCTGTTTTAGCAGGGCATCTCAGGGGATTTATCCCCAGATAACGTGGATAAAGAGTTGCTCCTAATTCTTTAAAGGGATATAGATGAAGCACTCTGCAAGACAAATTTCATGCTGTAACAGAAAAATTGAAAAACAATGCATGGACAGCCCATTGCCTAATTTCTATACATACAGGCACATAAGGACCGGGTGTCTTTTATAAGTAAATATGCTAAAAAAACATCATTTTCATGTCTTCTTTTCTAGTTCAGGAAAAAAGGAAGTTTCTTTCTCCCTTTGAGAGATCCAAATTTGAATTTAAGCAAAAATCTCTTGCCAAATGAACTCACTCTTTTAATTATGTTAGAAGTTTTGGGAAGATGCATGCAGGTAAGAATAAATGTTTTCAAATACATTCTCTACTTGCTTCAGTCAGATCTTTCCCAGTTTAAGATAAAAGGAAAATGTGAGATAGCTGGAGACTCAGCTTCCTCAGGTGGGTGAGTCCTGAGTTTATAGGTCATGCTGGCAACCATTTCTACATAGAGAACTCTGAAAGGCTAGTTTTTATTTTGAAAAATTATTCCCTCTTTATAGAATTAATTACCCTATTTTTGGTATTCACTTTTGGTTCTTTCTTCAGAGGACAATTAGCTGATTCTAATTTGATCTACTTATGGTTCAGGGAAATAACTGGGTTGTTATTTTGACAATTTTCATTATTATTATTTTATTAAATTTTAGTAATAGTTATGTCCGTTTTTGCTATAAATGATAAATATTTCCTGAGAACAGACTCCAAATGTTCCCGTGTTTTGGGTTGATGGTTATATTTGTGGTCTCCAAGGCCCTTTCTCAGCCCCTAGAAGCACCACCCCAGACGGACATACAGCTGGGGCTTTCCAAGACTCCACAGTCCACTTTGAATCCCACACTCACCATATTGAGGCCAAAATCAGAGAGAACTAGATGTCCTTTAAATCTGAGCCACTGGACAAGCAGGCCTGACCTAGTACAGGTTTTCAGGGGCCTTGACCCATAAAGAAAAATAGCCGGAGAAGCTGTTGTGGCCGGATCTTGGCTGCTTCCTTCCTTCCTCCCCCACTGGTTCTGGAGCCTGATGTATCAAGGAGTCACAGTTTTCTGTGCCCTTTAGAACTTAGGAGGTGCTTACTGTAATTCTTACTGTAAACACAGGCTGTTGGAATCAAGCAGGACTCAGAATGAGTCATTCAAAAATTTTCCTGACACTCGGAAGAGAAAGTAGCCTTAAAGAGCAGCAGTTCTCAACTTGTGGGTCGCGATCCCTTTGACACCCTTTGCCTCCAAAAATTGTTTACATTGTGATTCACGAAAGTAGCATAATTACAGTTATGAAGTAGCAACAAGAATAATTTTATGGTTGTGGAGTCACCACCACATAAGGGCGTGTAAAGGGTCACACACAGCATTAGGAAGGCTGCAAACCACTGACATAGAGTACAGGCTTCTGTTATCTGAGAACTGGGAAAGCAAAGTACCCAAAGGTATATAAGCCTCCTATTCATGATATAAAAGCATGTTGATACAGATTGATACGTAGTATACTATTATTATTATTATTTGAGAGTTTTGATTAGATGATATATGCTGAAGTATTTGTTGGGAAAAATCTATAATGCCCAAGGTTTTCTTTAAAATTCTTCACAAAGAAAGAGATAAGGTTTGGGGGAAGGGTTGGTGTCAATGGTGGCTGAAGAATAAAGTGGTAGATGAGATCTTGATGATAGAAAGGTAGCAGTTAAAGTGGGGTTGTAAGTGAATGACTTCATTGCACGACTCTGCCTCTGAAAATGGGTGAAACTGCGAAGTAAGCCTTAAAAATCTAACCCTACATACCCAAATATTGGAGAAAAAGTTGATAAAAATAAACAAAAACAAAACAACAAAAATTCAACTTGTGGGCCTAGAGAGACTGCTCAATCAGCAAGCCTGAGGACCTTAATTCAGGCCCCCAACATCCATATAAAAAGGCAGGCATGATGGTGTGTACCTGTGAACTGAGCGTTAGAGAGGAAGCTCTATGGCCATCTAACATTGTCAAATTAGTGAGCTTCAGGATCAATGACAGAGCCTATCTCAAAAAACAAGATAGAGGGGGATTGAGAGAGATGCCCAATGTCAACCTCAGGCTTCCTCACATACATTTACACACAGTTCCATCTACATGCCCCCCCACACACACACACATACACACTTTAGCTTGTCTGCATAGATTACTCCACAATTGTCAGAAGTGGAAGGAGACTCTTACATGTGAACTTTTCCCTGAGAAGGGTGCAGTTCTTTGCCTACTACACTAGGGCAGAAGTGGGCTAAAGTCAAAGGGAATCTAAATTCAGTGCCCAAGTATCTGAAAGAGTACTGGCATCTTGCAGTTTTCCAGGCCCTTGAAGACCACTTTTGAGGACACTGAGTAGAACTGACAGTGCCTGATTCTAAGCCTGAGAGAAAGAAGAGGAGAGTGATAGAGATGAGACTGATGGAACATGTAGTAGAAATGGTCTGTGGCTACATGCAGTGCCATCCTCACATACATGCCTGACTACCAAGAAGTGTCTCCATGCTAGGAGGCAACGTTATAAGAAGCCAACTTGAAGAGGCTGAGTTCACACTAGAAAAGGCTGAGACATTACTCAAGCACTAGGATTTACCTGGATATAGCAATTTAGTATTTTGCCAGTAGGTAGTCTTGAGACGACTTAAGTTCATTTATAGAAAAAAAGCCATCAAGCTTATAGCTTTTGTACATCCATATGTAAAGGTTTGTGCATTTTTTACATGTCAATGGTGAAGCAGATTGAATCTTTTGAGATGGACAGAGAACCATTGAATGTTTTAAAATACTTGATGATGAGAACCAAGTCACTGCTACAGAAATAAGAGAATTGGGAGATAGTATGGCTTATTAATGGTGAGGACATTAACTGAGAAGAAACAAGATTTCAAAATTAAGAGATAGCTAAGAAGAAAGAAAATAAAGTATGGATTCAAGATATATCCAGAATATTAAGAATGTTTAGCCTGCTCTCAGTCTTGCTTGTGGCTAAACTATTGTGCAATTACAAAGTATAGCCATTTTTCAATAAAGTGGCAGCCATCCCATTTCACCCTCAAAAAAGAAAAAGAATGCTTAGAAGCCGATTGAACATATGGAAGAGTTGATGTTAATATTGAAATATTGAGAAATCCCAAACATTTGGAATTAAGGTATAATCATCAGAGAAATATAGAGAGGCAACAGGACATGGAGGATGCTAGCTGATTCTGCAGTGTCCACCACAGGCTCAGATGTTGACCCCTGATACTCAACTGCTGGTGATGTTTTGGTTAGCAGCCAGGAACAGTAAGTAGGATATAGGGCCTACCTTGAAAAAGTAGTAACTTGGGTGTATTCTTAGAGCTGGAGCCCACCTTCACCGTTTTTTATCCACAATGAAATGAATAGTCTCCTTCACACACTTCCATTGCTATGAGTTCTGCTTCACCATGGACTTAGAATCAATGGAGTTAAGAGCTGAAATCAATAGAACAGTGAGACAAGATAAGACTTTTTTTTTTTCTTTCAAGTTGTTCTGGTCGCAGTTATGTGAAAGTAATCAAATGTGTTCTAAATGTTTTATTAAATGTTTTAGGTATAGTAATTCAGAAGGAGGCATATAAAGGAAGTGATACAATTTATAAATGCAAAAGATTGTGGGCTAGGGCTAGGCAGAAAGCTCAGCAGGTAAAGAGCTTCCCATACAACCATAAGGTCAAGAGTTTGGACCCCCAGAACCTAAATAAAAATGGGTGAGCATGGTGGCTCCAGTGTAATGTCAGCATATGGGAAGTAGACACAGGATTGCCAGAGTGAGCTGGCTGGCTAGCCAAATTGTTGATCTCTGGTTATAAGAGAGAGAGAGAGACAGACAGAGAGAGAGAGAGACAGAGAGAGAGACAGAGAGAGAGAGAGAGAGAGAGAGAGAGAGAGAGAGACTCAATATATAGAGAGATGAAGAAAGACTGTCAATATCAAGCTTTGGCCTCTACACTCACAGACATGCATATGTCATAGGTGCATAACCACACATACACAAGCATGCATAAACATATACACACCACATATGTATGCAAAAGTTAAAAGTGTAGGGTTTACATAGATGCCCATAGCAGCATTATGCACAGTAGCTCCAAAGCAAAAACAATGTATTTATCAAGTTGTGGAGATAAAACAAATATGAAAATATGGTATAACCACATAATGTGAACTGTTGTTAAAAAAGAAGTACAGCACCAAATCATGCTATAACATAATGCATCTTAATAACTAACATTATACCAAGAGAAAGAAGATAGGCATTAAAAACATCACATGGTACAGAGTCTATTTAACAAATATGTAGAATAGAGAAATCTCTAGTGACATAAACTTTAGTGGTTGCCAGGGGCTGGGGAGGGGGCCTTGTGGAAATGGTGTGTGACAGCTCATGTATACTTGGGGTCTACATGTCAGGGTGCAAAAATGTTTCAAACTAGATTGTCTTGGGGCCAGACAGATGGCTCAGTGGGAAAAGGTGTGTGGCACACAGGCCTTATGACTTAAGCGTGTTCCCTGACCCATAGTAAAAGGAGAGATTGTTCTCTGATGTCTATCCATTGTATGCAGCATGTATCCCACTCCTCAAAAATAATAATTCAAAGAAAAATAGATTGTAGGGATAATCTATATCCTTGTAACTATACTTAAAACATTGAATTTATACTTTGATTGAGTAAATCATGTGGTACAGAGTTATATGTCATTAGCCTTAAAAAAATAAGATGCACAGAGTTAATGCAATTTGTCTAAGCAGATAACAGCTGCATAGATCCAGAGTCTAGTCTAGCACACAGAGACTCAGCTCATAAAGAACTTAGATCTACCACAGATTGCATCATTTTCAAGACAGAATTGGGAGACATTTTCCTTTGGCCCTCCTATAACGCATACTTAGCCAAGGTCAGCCTCTATGGAGATGAACAGGTCTAAAACTGGTGCTATTGAATGATTGTATTTTCAGTGCTTAGGATAAAATGAACTTATGAAATATTAGCTGCGTTATGAATGGCAAGGAATAGTGAGGTTGGGTGACATGGATGGTTCCCACCATTTCTCTTGTTGCAGATAATCGTTTAGAGGAGAAATGTGCCTTGGTGATTAGATCAAAGTCAACTGGGCCCACTGAGTTGATATGAAAAACAAAACCTGAATATCCTTTTCATGTATGGTGCTTTGGCTTACTCTATTGGGGGGGTATGTTAAAGTTTTTCTAGATTGTGGAGCATAGACTTTTAATTTATAATCAGAAAACAATGTTCTGATTCTGAATCTGAAGAAAAATTTGTATGTATGGTTGTATAATTTGATAGGCTAGAGATGTAGCTCAGTCAGTAGAGCATTTGCCTGGCATGCACAAAAAGCCTTTCACGTCTACTCACAGGCATTGCCTTTATTGGACATGGTGATTCCCTTCCTCAGCACTTGGAACATGGGTGTAAGAGGATCAGAAGATCAAGGCCATCCTCTGCTATATAGGGAGTTTGGGGCAAGCCTGGGATTTATAAGAGCCTGCCTTCTAATGCTAAAAACATCAATGGGTTTTTCTATGTCTCATGGTTGTTTTTATTTCCCTATACAATAAAAGCATCTTGAAACAATAAACCCTAAACATAGCGTGGACATGACAGCAAAGAAACTTTTAGTAAAAGAATAAATTGCTGAATGCAAGTGTGGACTGTAATTTCTTGACATGGAATGGAAGCAGATGCACTCAGCTTAACATGTCATTATTAAATTCACTTCCAACTGGCATTTTCTTGTTTGGTGGAGGAGGGATTGGGCACAAAGTTCCCATTTTTGTTAATCAAGTAGTGCTGTTATATGCCACAAGAAGTTAATCTTGGGGTATTTGTTAATTAAGAAGCAAGTATTCAACTACAGACTTGAGTTGTGGATATCTTCTGTACTATACCTGGCTTTAGAAAGAGGCCATTAAAGAAATTGAGCCACTCTTTCAACATCAGAAGGTATCAGCCTGTTGTATCTTTAGCATCTGGAGG